GGTGAAAGAGTGAAACCCTGTCTCAAAAGAGTCCAAAAATAATCCCATATATCTGTGGTCAACTGATTTTTGACAAAAATGCCAAGATCATTCAATGGGGGAGAGAATAGTCTTTTCAACAAATGATGCTAGGACAATTGGATAGCCACATGCAAACGATTGAGTTAAAACCCTTACCTACGCCATATTAAAAAGTTGACTCACAATAGATCAAAAACCTAAATGTTAGAGCTAAAAGTATAAAACTCTTAGAAGAAAACAGAAGTTTTCACCTCATGAGCTAGGATTAGGCAATAGTTTCCTAAATATGACAACAAAAACTCAAGGCAACTAAGGAACAAGGAAATAAACTGGATTTCATTAAAATTTAAAACTTTTGTGTATCAAATGACACAATCAAGAAAGTGAAAAGACGATCCACAGAAAAGGAAAAATATTTGCAAATTCGCCAGGTACAGTGGCTCACACTTGTAATCCCAGCACTTTGGGAGGCTGAGGCAGGTGGATTACCTGAGGTCAGGAGTTCAGAATCAGCCTGGCCAACGTGGCGAAACCCCATCTCTACTAAAAATACAAAAAAAAAAAAAATAGCCAGGAGTGATGGCGCATGCCTGTAATCCCAGCTACTGGGGAGGCTGAGACAAGAGAATTGCTTGAACCCAGGAAGCGGAGGTTGCAGTGAGCTGAGATTGCACCACTGCATTCCAGCCTGGGCATCAGAGCAAGACTTGTCTTAAAAAAAAAAAATGTGCAAATCATATGTCTGAGAAGTGTCTTGTATCCAAATAAACAAGGAACTCTTACAATTCAACAATAAAAAGACAACCCAATTTAAAAATGGGAAAAGGGTTTGAATGGACATTTCTCCAAAGAGGATTTACAAGTGGCCAACAGACACATGAAAACATACTCAACATTATCAGTCATTAAGAAAATGGAAATCAAAACCACATATGATACCACTTCATACCCACTAAACCAGACAACAAGCATTAGCAAGGATGTTGGGAAATTGGAACTGTCATAAATCCCTGGTATAAAATTTAGTAAATGTAAAATTGTTCAATTACTTGGAAAACAGCTTGGCAATTCCTTAAAAAGTTTAACATAGAGTTACCATATGTTACCCCAAGGTAAATAGAGGTATGTACCCTCAGCCCAGCAGGCAGAGGCAGAGATGCCACAAACAGGCTGTCCTCCAGAGCCAGCTCCCCCACCAGACTTCTTGCTGGGAGGCTGAAGACAGCTCCATGAGTTTCCTGGGTATTCCTCCAAGGACACAGGTGAGGACACGGTTTTATGTTCATACGTGCATCCAGCCATGTCATCTCAGCAAGACATATGCATTCACCCACGGAGGTATCTTACTAGGGTAGTCATCCTGCTAAGTCATCTAAGTAAATATGTACCTTCAGAAAGGTACAAGCTACACCTAAACAGAACAAGGAGGATAGTGACAGCGCCTTTCCTGTCCCCTTCCCCACCTGGAAATGAAGACCTACAGGAGGGTTAAGCCTGCCCGAAGCACAGCACAGACAGGGACAGAGAGAAGGATGATGCCCTGCATGTGGAAAGCCCAGGGTCCTCTCCACATGGGCTGCCTGGGCCATCCCTTGCCAGCCCACAAGCGCTGAATGTTAACTCTTCAGGAATTCTATAAAGCGTTAACGGCATGTTGGTGGCTCGAAATGAGCCCAGGTCAGGGAACTCACACCTCGGGACTAGACACCCTGCAGATCGGTCCTTCCATCCCTATTACACCACTGGCCGGCTAGAGGGGGCCAGTCAGCACCAGAAGTAGAAGAAAAAGAAAGGAGGTGAGGGGCCATGGCAGGGCCCACCTGGCCCAGTCTGAGGCTCAGGGCTCAGTGGTGCCACATCACTTGTTACCCACTTCACACTTTGCCTAAGCCCCTGACACCACTGCAGCCTCATGGCTGTGCTGAGGGCTCTGGCTGCACTCAGCTGCTCCTTGGCTGACTCCTTCTGCCTAGGGGACCACTGAGCACATGCTTCACCCGGAGGAGGAGGGGCAAATTGGCAGATATGAGGACAGGGATCTAGCAACCTGCTCTGCCCTGTACTAAATGTGGGCTCAGCACACAATCAGGCATACGCAGCCTCACACGTGACCGCCACGTGGTGGGTGGGACTCCACTTTATCCAGCCAAGCCACTGAGCTCACGCAGCCATGGGCGTCAACTTCCCAGGCTCCATTTCCAGGAGTGCCAGGGACAGCTGGGTCCCTAGGTAGGTGGCCTTAATATCCTCCTTGTAGAACAATGGTGATCCCGGAGAGCCTTTCAGCTATGACAGCTGTGACAGTCAAAGATCTTGTGGTTGTAAGTTCCAAAGTCCCTGGGTGGCCACTGAGGCCGAGCCCCCTCTCTTCCCAGGGCACGCTGCACCATGTTCCAGCTGCCTTCAACCCCCCCGCCCAGCTTGGGCTTCAGCCCCTCATGCCAGGTGCCTCCCACAGCTCCCCCTCAGATTTGCCACACTCTTCAAGCTCTCCACAGCCACACCAAGCGTGCTGTCCACCCCCACCCACCACCACAAAAGGGGCATCCTCCTGAGCCCTGCCCTCTCAGATCCTGAGAAGCCTGAGTCAGCCTCCTTTCCTCCAGCCCTTCAGTCACCCAGGAGGGGCCTCCCTGGTGGCCACCTCCTGTCCCCTTCCCCATCGCCTTCCCAGCAGCCCTTTCTCCACACAGCACCCATGGGTTCATCTGCAGACAGCATGGCCACGCATGCCACTCCAGGTCACTTTGGTGGCTCCCCACTGCCCTCCCTCTGCTCTTGCCTGCTGAGGTCCTGGGGACAGCTGGCAGGGAGAGCCCCTGAAGGTATGTGAGCAGAGGGAGTGTTTCCCAAAAGCACCCTGGCTCTGGGCAGCATGGGCAATGCCAAGAGAACCAGGATCCAGGCACAAGGAACTGTCTGGGATCACACGGGGACAGTGGACGTGGAGGACACCAGCATGAAACAGTGGAGATGAAACTCCACAGCTTCTGGGACAGGAAAACTTGCACACTCCAAAGGCCAGGTCGGATGTCCGTTCCTCCCAGGCTGGCCTGCCCAGTCCCTGCGTGTGGAGGGCAGGAAGGCGATGGGGCAGCGGAGCCACCTTTGAAGGAGCCGGTGCATTACACTCACAGATCGTGTCAAACAAACACTCCAGGAGAAGGGAATTTTGGGGAGCCACCCAAACTGCATCAAGGGAGGCTCTCGGGAGTGGAACTGTGGCTGTTTCTTTCTCTTTATGTTTCTGTTATCTTTTATGTTTCCAGGTTTCTCCTTATTCTCTAAGACCAGCAGTATTACCTGGACACCTACACAGTGTCCACCAAAGGCTGACTGTCATCCCTGCGTCATTTGAGAACAAGAGTTTCTCGGGCCCTTGGAGCTCACAGCAGTGAGGGCAGGCTGGCCCCTGCTTGCCACCACCTGCCTTCCCAGAGGCTCCTGTCGGGCTCACCTGACTGCCTCGGTCTCCAGGGATGCCCCAAGGGACTCAGGGCAAGAGGACCCCTGCCAGGGAACAGTGATGCCTTGGGGCCTCCCGTTCCAGCGCCACCCCCTTGGTGGTTCTGTCCTCCTCACCATCCCTCCTGCGCCTGAAAGAACCACCTCTCACCCACCTCCATCCACCTCAACGCTGCTTCTAGGGCTGCTCCTGACCCTGTCCCTGTCTCTCCCCCATTTCTTTTCCTAGAAAACTGAGGGTGAGAACCAGGCAGCTGGCAGGGACGCTCTGAGGAAAATGGTAGGCAACCCCCCTTCCCAGAACTCTGTGGGGTGACCACAGGCAGTCAGTGGGTCAGCAGATGCCACTCTCAGGGGGATGAGTCCCTCCATCTCACTGCAGAGGGGCCTGGGCCAAGGCTTAGGAGTAATTCCAAGTCAGGGGAGCTGACTGGGAAGGAAGGCTTGGGGAGAAGAAAAGGAAGTGCCTCTGAAGGGCAGGGCTTACAAAGTGACAAGTTGCAGGCTAGTTTTTGTTCCTGGGTCTGCCTTGAAACCCCAAGCTGCAGTCTTAATGGCGATCAGAGACAGCTCCCCTGTGGGCCTGGGGTCACCTTGCATGTGGTGGGATTTGGGGCCGCAACCTTGGACACACTCTCCAAGCCCCTTTACCCAGCAAAGACACAAGTCACTCTCTGAGCTGGGGCCTCCCAGAGCCCCAGGTCTTGGGATCCTGAAGAAGAGCATCCCACTGCCAGGACTTGGCTGGGGGCCCCCAGGGCCTCGGGGACTGCTCCTCTCAGCCAGCCCTGAGTCATTCACTTGTACCCAGCTAGGTTCCAGAAAGGGCTCCAGGGACAAACACTAGCTGGACACTGGTGGACCTGTGACTAGCCTCCTGAGTGGCTCAGCCTCTGTGGCCTCTGCTGACCTCATCTGTGCAATGGCAACAGGGGGCCTGAGAGCAGATGGTGGGCCAGGCCCAGGGGAGCACCCTGCCCCCCAGCCCACCCCTGCACAGCTGGTGCTTGGGCGCAGCTCTGGCCACGTCCCCACACACCCTTCATCATTGTAAACATTTTTACCACCCTAGGTTTACAGAGGAGGAAACGGAAGGCTTCAGAGATGACACTCACCGGGGTTGGGGATGGCACAGCGGGGGTTCGGGGAAGCCTGGGGAGGCGCACAGCCGCGGAACCCTTTGCCCGTGGTTGGTGTTCGACCTTGGGCAAGGCCCCCTCCCGCAGCCCGGGGCGTGGGTTGTGAGCAGATAGCTGTCCCATCTTGCGGGGGTGGCAGGCGGGTGGGCAGGAGCTCCACCTGCCGCTGCGGGCGCCTGCTCAGAGGAAGAGGCGCGGGGGCTGGGGGACCCCTGCCCCGACGGGCGCTGCTGCCCCGGGAGTTGCGGGAATCCGACGCTCCAGGGCAGAGCGGGGACGGTGATGCCGCGGGGCTGCGGGAGGGCGAGCGGCGCCTCGGCCAGGGGTCCCACAGTCCCACCTGCCCGGCCCGGGGACGCGGGTGGGGGCCGTTACCTTCCCGTCATGGTGGCAGCGACGCCGAGCCCGGGGTCGCCGCGGGTCTCCCTCTACCGCCGCAGCCGCCAGCCGAGCGGCCGCCCGCCAGCCCGGGCCGCGGAGCAGGGAGACGCCCAAAAAAGGCCAAGAGCCGCTCCGCCCGCGAGAGGGGTGGGCGGGGGTGGCGGGGTGGGGCCCGCGGGGCGGGAGGAGTGGAAGGTCAAGGCTGAGGGAGGTGGGCTTGTTGGAGTGGTGGGGTGGGAGATTGGGGGCGTAGAGGTGGCGGTGGGGGTGGCAGGTGGGGGTGGTGGTGGTGGGTGGGGTCGGAGGGGGGGCCAGAGGTGGGGATGGAGGTGTGGTTGGAGGTGTGAGAATGAGGTGGGGGTGGGATTCGGGGTAAAAGTCGGGGTAAGGTCGGGGCCCAGCCACCCGCACAGCCCCCAACTCCGGGGACACCGAGCGCGGCCAACAGCGGGCGCGGGTCAAGTCCTTCCCACCCGGGCTCCACTCGCCACCTCCCGGATTCCGGGCATAGTTTTCCTTTTAAAGGGAGTGAAGTTATAATCAACGCGAACAGGCACCCCCACCCCCACAGTCCCGCCGGGACGCCCCGTTCAGCGCCCACTCGGCCGCCCCGACTGCAAACGCGTGCGGGAGAGGGTCGGCGTCGTGGGGGACGCTGAGATCACCTCCCTGCCGGGCTTTCCGAGCCCCGAGTTCCCACCGCGGACCTGGGCACTGACTCCCTCCCGAGGCATCCGGGACCCCCGAGTCCACGCAGTCCCGTCCCCAGGGAGGCCAAAGTCGAGGGGGGTCCCTTTTCAGTCGCAAGGCTCCTTTCCCCGAGAAATTCCCATTTCATCCCCCTATGGGGCCATCGCCCTAGCTCGGCGAAAGATACTTCTTTTTTTTTTTTTTTTTTTTT